ACATGCACACTCAGACACATACACACACTGACACATGCATATTCACGCACAGACACAAACACAAATACACACACTGACACATGCACACTCAGACACATGCACACACAGATACACAATCTGAAATATACACACTCACACAGATACACACACTGGCACAAACACACACACAGATACGCAAATACATGTAATATTTTTTATATTTTAGCAACCTGCCTGTTAACTTACCTGTTATGTGCCTGTTAACATACCTGTTGTGTGCAGGAGCGTAGCAACCCTGTGTTCCTCCTGTTGGCTAAGTCCAAATCCAAGGTTGGCACTCTCCTTGCTTCTACCCCCTTCTCTTTCTGTGCTTGCACTCTCCCTCCTGTGTGGGTCTCCCTGTATTTATGAGTAAGTGACAGGCACTCACTTCCTCCCAGCATGTATCTGACAAGGTTAAAGGTCCACTGTATATTGTACAGAAAAATGGGATACAGCTGGATATCTAGAAACAAAAAATAACAAATAATAGTGCAACACTGTATATAAATGAAAACAGTGCCCCCACTAAATGTGGAGCTCACAGACATCAAGTTGTACAGCGCCTTAAAGTTGCCTTCCCATTGGGAGTTGTTGGCTTGTGGTCCTCCGAGTTGAAATCAGGAACCAGGCAGGTTGTTGCAAAACTGGTTTATTGGCGTTACAAAATTAGATAAAATATAGAAGTGTTAAAACAATGATTGTTCTCCGGTCCTACACGTTTCATTTCCGTGGAAACTTCCTCAGGGACCAATATTAATACAATTACAACAATATGACAAAATAAGTAACAATAAATCATCCTACCAACTTCCCTTCCCTATATCTTTAAATAGAGCTGTTCCTGATTTCTTCCGCTGTGTTCCTGCTTCTTGGCCAATCGGTTATCTTTTCCCATCTCCTGATATTGTATTTGGCGCCATGTAATCTCGTGCCTGTGTGTTGTTTCCGGTTTGCATTCCACTTTCAATGTTCATGCGTTCCAGGTCCTGAATGCAACTTTATTGTTAATATTATCCCAACACACAAAACCCGATATATCTCGCAATCTAATAGAGGATAGAATGTCTTAGTGAACTTTTAAAAATAAAATATGCTATTTTTCATATAAATTACAATTTGGGGTAAGTGTATTAGGAAATAAAGTGCAGTCTTTTTAGATCTTCATATTTCATGCATTATGTTCACAAATATCATATAATATTATTGATCATCCCTCCTGACAGGCTCAAAATTGAGTAAAAAACACATTTACAAGTGTCTATAAGAGACTATTTACATATATTTATATAAAACAATTGTAGACAAAATAAATAAAAATAAAAAATGAACTATTAAGAAAAGTATAGAAAAATAATGAAAAAAATCAACACCCATTAAAAATTAGACATACTAGTAAGTACCAAACTGTAAAAATAAATGTAATAAATTTGATTAGCCATATACATACATATAAACAAGCACATACATATAACAATATACATACGTGATTGTAAAATTACATGCATGTGATTATAGTCTGTCAGGTAGGGTGCATCCATATCCTTAGAATTTTATAGAAAGCAAACTGTGTCTATATTCACATTCAAACCAGCTCCAGTGTCTGCAATTTATGGATCCAGAATGTCTCTAATTGAGACAAAGTTTTCAATCTGTTTCCTCCTCTCCAGTGAGAATTGGCTCTTTCAATTCCTATACATGCCAAATTCTTAAGATCAAATATAGGACAGGAATTGCAGTGCACCGGTGTGAAATGGGATACCCATTTCTTTTTAATGTTGTTGGCATGTTCCAACAATCTCACTTTAAAACACCTTTTCATGCGCCCTACATATTGCTTGCTGTAAGGACACTCCAGTAGATACACGACAAAGTCCGTGCGGCAATCAATCCCTGGTCCACTGTGCCTGATTGGGCCCCTGTTTAGAAATGCCCATCGGGTGGCTCTAAGTGTCTAGGCCAACAGGTGAGCCCCACGGTGTGCAGCTGCACCAGCGGTAACTCCGCCACGGATTTGCATTTCAATAGTTGTGGACACATTTTTAATAATGATAAGCCAGCATGAAGTCAGAAGCAGAGGGAATTAATAAGATCTAAAAGTGGAGCTGTCATCATCGAAACAGATTAAATGTTTTCTCTAATCTTTCCATGCTTAGAACCTTGCACACCTCTGGCTCAAAACAATTCAGTGTCTGCAAAAAAAAAAAAAAAATCAGTGGGAAAGTGGTCAGAACCCATACAAATTTATAGGATTAAGATATCTATCAAACACCAAAAAAATTGCAAAATTTGCTCCAATCTGTTACATCAAGAAGCGCATTCCCAAAAGTTAATTTTCCCTTCTCACATCTTGCAAGTTCCTTACAAGCATTTATGTCCTATTATACAGCCTTGCCTTTGCAATAAATAATGTTTACTGTTTTACCTGCTATTATACCCCAGCTATTTGATCACATGTCTCTGTTTGTACCAGCTACTTTACTTAAAGGACCACTACAGGCACCCAGACCACTTCAGCTTAATGAAGTGGTCTGGGTACCAGGTCCAGCTAGGTTTAACCTTTTCTTCTATAAACATAGCAGTTTCAGAGAAACTGCTATGTTTATAATAGGGTTAATCCAGCCTCTAGATGCTGTCTCATTGATGTGGTGATTCCGCGCTTCTCACTGTGATTTTCACAGTGAGAAGATGCCAGCGTCCATAGGAAAGCATTAAGGGGTTTAAGAATGCTTTCCTATGGACTGGCTGAATGCGAGCTCGGCTGAATGCACGCATGCGCATTCAGCTGATGACAACAACAAGGAGGAGAAGAGTCCCCCGCCCAGCGCTGGAAAAATAGATAAATTTAATCCCTTCCACTTCCTAGAGCTTGGCGGGAGGGGGGCCCTGAGGGCGGGAGCACCCTCAGGGCACTATAGTGCCAGGAAAACAAGTATGTATTTAGAAAATTGGGCAGACTAGATGGGCCGAATGGTTCTTATCTGCCGTCACATTCTATGTTTCTATGTTTTCCTGGCACTATAGTGGTCCTTTAAAAGAAAAAAAAAGTGTCTGTGAAACCAGTGCTGACACCTTGTACAAATTGTGATGACAAATTTACTGCATGTACTCTATACAATATGTTGACCGTACTCTGCTATTTCCACTCAATAAAAATTGATTGGAAAAAAAATGATGCCAAAAATGAATGACTACTACATATTACTACATTGAAAATAATAATAACAACAAAAGCAAATTTGCACGTTTTGCCGTTTAGCCTATGGAACTACATACATCTGCAATATTTAGCCTAAAGTTGTGCTAGCATCCAACTTAAGACAAAAAAAAACCTTTGACACAATCTACAGACAATTGCTATTAGTCAGGAGGGACTAGAGACATGGTCCCCTCTATCCCCTGTCACAATGACAGCTCATACGGCCCGTAGCCAAATATTAATTTGGATAATTAGCTCAGGAACCATTCATGAATGTATTCCTGAATGATTTGTAAGCTATTTCCGACAATTCTATGCATGGGCGTCCGCAGGAATTTTTCTAGTGTGGGGGCATAATTGTAATGACATCCATGCTTGGCCCCTTTTTGACAGTGTCATGACCAGATTTTGGAAATAAAAAAAAACAGGACACCCATTGGGGTGGAGGGGGAGGGGGCAAGATACATTAATAGCTTTTTCACAGCTATGAACTCAGGAATACATGTTTGCATTCCTAACACTATAGTGTTCCTTTAAGCAAATTAAAGGAACATTCTGGTTACCATAACAACTTCATTTAAATTAAAATGCTATGATGCCAGGAGGCCCCTGGGTGCTCTCTTTCCTTTAAGGGGTTGAACCACTCTCACATGGATTAAACCCAAAGGCTTCCTCCACCTCCAGATCTCCAGGTCGCTCAGGGGTAATCGGCTTCTGAAACGGAGTGTCAGGAAGTGCAGATTTACATTAGGCATGGGTGCCGCTGATTGGCTATAGTGGTCAGTTGATGCCCTAAGCCAATCGCTAGTTCCCGGTTCATAAAAATGTTTTAATTAGAGTGCCAGCTGACTAATCTGCGGCACCCCTACCAGCGGCAGACTCTCAGTAAATAAAAGTGAACAGAGTTGCCCCGGACCTATGCCTCACTTACCTGATCTGTATGCCTACCCCCTATTGCTCACTTACCTAATCTGTAGGCTACCCCCATATTCCTCACTTACCTAATCTGTAGTCTGCCCCCCATCCCTCACTTACCTGATCTGAAGGCTGCCCCCCCCATCCCTCACGTACCTGATCTGTAGGCTGCCCCACAAATGCACACTTACCTAGTCTGTAGGCTGCCCCCCCATTCCTCATTTACCTGATCTGTAGGCTTCCCCCCTATCCCTCACTTACCTGATCTGTAGGCTGTCTCAGCAGTCTGGGAGTTGCTGGATCCACTCTGTGATGCTCTCCTGCGGATTCAGTCAGGAGAGAGGAGCAGGGATGTAGCTTCCTATCCCTGCCTTTCTCCATACACTGGTATTGCAGTGTATTCTGAATCTCACAAGAAAAATATTGGCACAAGCTAAAAAATCCGGGGGGGAGGAGGGCAATTGCCCCCCACCCCCCTGCGGACGCCCATGATTCTATGGCTGATTAATTCTAAATTGTGGTTCATCCCGATCATTAGTAAGGTACCTCTATAAGTTGCCTAAAATTTACTGAATTGTTTTCTCCAAACGTTTAGAGAATGACCCCAAGAACATTTCACAAGATATTTTTTTCAGTTTAGTTTTTTATCAGTTTTAATTAATTTTAAGTTCATAAATAATTAGTTGGTAGAGCCATATTATGTTTCCATAATGTATATTCATTGTAAATATAAAACGAGTGATTCAATATTTTTTTCTCTTTTATGCAGGTCTGAGAAACTGAAAAAGTCTGATTTGGTCTGAAGAACAGTTTCCTTCTATAACAAGTAGAACCTACTTGGACAACATAAGTGGTAAAAAGAGGTTCCATGGGGACTGTACCAGATCCTCAGGGGTCTGACAAAAGTTCAGCAGTTGCCACATCTGCAGAGGACGAGATTTCTGAGTTTGAAACAACACAAGCTGCCAAACACCAGCTTCAAACAACCTCCGCAAAGAATGGCAGTGCAATACCCATTTCAGACACATGCCAATCAGACCTAACATGCAGGCCCACATTGAAAACTGTGGATTATGAAAATACATGTGAACATGAAATACAGGAAACCAGCAAAACATCATTACCTTTTAGGACTTCTAGTCAATCAAACATGATGCCTCCTTTAGATGAGCTGCATTTAACAAGTAGAGATCCAGAAGCCATCAAAGACAATGCTCCATGTGTTCCCATCACTAAAAGCATACCACCGAATTCTGAAACAGTGTCCTCTAGTGTTATAAATTTGACTTTGCCAAGTGAAAAGTCAGTAGTAGATGAGAGTACCATGCCAAAAGAGAAAACTATTTTAGAAGAAGCAATATCTATAAAAGGAGTTCTAGATTTAGGGACCAGCAACACTGATAAAAATGTAATAGAACGCTCTCCAGACACAAACGCAAATCTAGACAAGGAAATAAATACATGTTTGCTAAGCCAAGGAGAGGAATGCAGATATATTGATGCTGGAACAAATCAGAATTCTGGTCATAAAGTTAGTTGCACTTCAGCACAAGAAGAGCCTAGAACACAGGATGTGGACCAAGATAATATTTCAAAGCCAGAGGAATGTTCACAGTTAAGCCTTGTGGAAGGAGATATGAACAACAGTGAGGAACAGTTGCCATTGGAGTCTCAAATCCTCTGCAAGTTTAAAGAGATGGGCACAATGACTTCACAACTTGAAAGCTGGACTAAACAAGATGCTGAAGTGCAAGCTGTGGCAAATGTAGTGGATAAATCTGTCTCCACTAGTCCAAGCATCCTATCTGCATTTCTGAAGATTAACTCCCCTATGTTTAAAGAGAGACAAGAACAGGTCTGCATTATTTATCAAGGTAACCCTGGAAACCCTCAGATGGATCGTGCTAACTTTGCGTTGCACCCACAACTTTCCCAAAACCACTTAGCTCCAAAAGTACGCTTTCAGCCTCCTGATGCAGTGAACCCCCAACCTTCTCAACTACTCAATAAAAGTCCACCAGACATGGTGCGTTCTCCCTTTCAGCACACAGATCTCGGACGAAATCCACAAGTTTTATATAGAAATGAGCTAGATAGTCAAGGCCGCCCAAAGCCACAAATGCCTATGGCTAGTGCATCTCCGATTTTAATGAATGTGAAGCCGGTTTACCAAATCAACATAGAAAACAGTAACCAGCCAAAAATGTTTAATGATCCATCACAATTCAGAACAGCTCATGACATGGGCAGCAAGTCAAGGCTCCATCATCTAAGTGGAACAGAAAACATTCAGTTGCACAATATTCGTCCACAAAATGAGCAGACAGAAACACTTAATGTCCCCACTGATGCTAATACTGAAAGAAAACCTTTTCACTTTAAAATTACTAACGAGCAGGGTTCTACTCAGACAATAACCACAGACATTAAAACGCCAAAGAAAGAGGACAAGCCAACTCCTCTCCATGTTGAAGTTGAGGTAAATAGCAGCATTGGGGCTACTGGTGGTCCAGTAGATGAAATACTTGAAGTTTTGGTTAGAAAAGAACAGGATGAAGGTGAACATACCAAGAGATCTAGTAGTCTAAGTGTACAATCTAAGCCTGCATCAGACTTTAACCAGGGTGCAACGCCTTTGACACCACGATTAAGAAAACCAAGAGAAGATAAGAAGGAGCCTATTCTGATCACCCTACCTACCTCTGAACAGCCCAAGTTACATGGTAAAAAGGCATCTCAAGCAGGTGCTGAAGCAAAAAGCCAGGTTAAGCAACAAAGTAAGAGTGTAAAGGATGTTGTATGGGATGAACAAGGCATGACGTGGGAGGTTTATGGAGCCTCGATGGATCCAGAGGCATTGGGGATTGCAATACAGAATCATTTACAAAGGCAAATAAGAGAACATGAGAAAATGATTAGGGCTCAGTTAAAGCAAAACAGAAAATCAATTTCATCTGATTCAGGTAAAAAGCACAAAAGAAGACAACACAGAGTATTTCAGTCTATGCTGAAAAACTTCAGACGACCCAACTGCTGTGTTCATCCTCCAGCATCTGCTGTATTAGAATGAGTATTTGGAACACTGTTGAACAGTTTAACTTATTCCTACATATTATAGTAGACTTACAATTATGGTTTATGCACTTAAGAATGTCAATGGGTGAATATTATTTAAATACTACATAGGTTTTATGGTGATTTTTTTTTTAATGCACACATTTTTTTTCATAAAACTGGGTGTTCTTTCCATAGCATGGCATACGCATATTTGTCTCAGTTTCTTAGTAAACATGGTAATTGATTTTAAATATGTCAAATGTTTTGTTTGTTTTTTTGTTGTTTTTTTTTCCAAATTCATCATAAGAAAAAAAAGAATTAGCAAAAAATAGAAATTTAACAACATAAATTACTGTCCTTTCACTTATAAAGGAGTTTATATCTACGCCATTAAAGGAAGTGCCAGAAAAGCCTTTATCACAGCAGCCTTTTTTGACTGTGAAGTTGTTTAGCGACAAAACATAGAATTGAGTGACAGTGACCAATTAAATATTTAAGCAATACCTGTTTAGAATACTTTAACTGCACAATGCTTGGAAAATACAGCCCAATATAAGAGGTTGATCTTTGACATAGTCGTTCCTGCTATGTCTTATTTGGCAACACAGGGTCAAGCTGAGACCAGACCATTGTGATGGCTGAGCCTTTTTGCACGTTTTCTCTTTGTACATTAAGGGCCATTTATGTTTAAATTATTATATTGAGAAAAAATTGTGCTAAGGAACCATCTTGTAAATATAATACTGTGTTTTAAATTTATTTTAGAGTAAAAATTAAAGAGTAGAAGAAAACAAAATAGACCAACTTATTTGGACCATTGTATTCCTGTTTTTCAAAATTGAACAGATAAATACATATTTATGTAATTGCAGGACAGTGCAAGCTATGTCTTCCCTACCAAATTTAATGTTCATGTTAATAAATGTTTTGTAGCTGCTACATTTATTAATTTTCTTTAAAAAACAATTTGTCTTCATTTGTAGGAATAATTTTTCTGAACATAAAGCAATATCAAAAAGCATGTGAACACAAATCAACGCTAACATTTTGCAGCTTATTTTTTGTGTTTTGATTCCGAATCAATCATAAGATACCATAAATGTGAAGTCATTTCTGCCTTGAGCAACATGTAACTTTTAGCTTTCACTAAAACGTTGCTTACTGTAGTTAAGGAAAGTATGCTAGTTGTTCAATTCTAGCTCAACTTGTAGATTTATAGGGTGTCAATGCATTTAGCAACTGTACAAACAAGATAATGTAATACGAAGTACAGAAACAAGCATTCTTGATAGCCCTGATGGATAATGTAGAAAAGCTAGAAGATGTTAGTCGTCATATTATATATCTCTTATAGTCTTGATTTTCTTGTTCAACTCTTCAAATTAAATTACTTTCCACAATCTCGCATATGACTCGCTAAATATAGTGATGTTTTATGCAGAGTTTCTTAAACCACGAATTAAGCTATTTTTTTAGTAGGTCCTCGTTAATTGAAGTAAAAATCATCAAACATCAGAATATATCCACAAATATTATTTCTGTTATTGCTCACTCTTCCCCATTGTAGGAGTGTCTCTTTATACATTGGAAGTATTTTACAAAGGTGTTTTGTAAAAAAAATTATTATATATATATATATATATATAAAGAAAAAGTAAACTTGGCACTCACCCTTTGTAGAGAAATGTCAAAAGATTCTTGCCTGGGTGCCCACCTCTGGCGTAGATAAATACAAAAATATATATAAGGTGCACTCACAGGTCTTTTAAATAAGTGATAAGTTTATTCCAGCGTGCAAATTACTATGCCACAAAATTTATGATGATCGACGTTTCGACCCACAAAGGGTGTTTTTCAACGTCGATCATCATAAATTTTGTGGCATAGTAATTTGCACGCTGGAATAAACTTATCACTTATTTAAAAGACCTGTGAGTGCACCTTATATATATTTATATATATATATATATATATATCTATATATATTATATTATATTATATTGGTATGCGTTATTAATGAAGAATAGATTATTGAGCTAGTTTTACAGCTGAAGAACATGTTTTCAAGCTAATGCTATGATCCTAGCCTGAGTCAAAACATAGCATTATAACAACTGAATTAAATCTTCTAAAGTTTTATTCTTAAAAGATTTTTTAAAATGTATATATCCAAATACCTGTGGATGCATGACTAATGTGCCTCCCAAGGAAAGCTAGTTTATTAGATAGATTCCAAAACAAATATTTACTAAACAAAGAGAAATTTTACAGGTAGGCCCAAAAAGCAATACTATGAAGGTTACTACCTTTGGCTTGATACTGGAAAAGTGAGGTTAGTCTTATTGGTTTACATTTTCCGTTTATGAGCGGTGAAATATTCATTCTCAAATTTTATTTTTTATTTTCTTTCACAAATATATGATCTATTTCATTTAAAACAAATATTTGAATTGTCAAGTAATGTTCCATAAAATGTTATTTCGTCTAATATGTCAAATTAAACAGACTTTGTCTTTGTGATTATACCTTTTATCTGAACGATGTTATGTGATCGAGTGGTACATGGTTTATTGTAGTTGGTGTTGTTTTAAAGAGTCCTGCATGTTACACACTCATTTAACCTTGTTAGGGCCAATAAATAGCTCCATTGTGTCCTCATTTATATAAGTAAATCGAATTAAAAAAAAATTGGTTGGAATGTTATAGTACAGAGTATTTTACATTTACTACATGATCTTGTATAAATTAATAAGAACATGTTGGCTGTTAGGTGTTAACAGAATGTAATGGAATTTATAACACAGCCCTAGAACTTACAATAACCCATCTTCTACGTAGTCACAGTAAAACGTCACTTTAATAATTCATATTTATATTTTTTCCTCAGTTGAATCTTAAAAAAGCTTTGATAGTGTAATGTATATTGATTCTAGCACTACCACTTAATTGCATTTATTATTGACACCAACTAATTGCAACACAGGATGGAGGGAAGCCGTATAGAGGTTTATTGAAGGACCCAAGACACAAGAACTCCTAAGCACCCTGTGTTGGAAAGATGGTCCAGCAATCTGATCCAATCTGACTAGTATATGAAAATAAAGAATTACTGCAAGGCAATCTGTAACTAAACATACTTCCTTCTTAACACAGACATTACTGTGTAACTCAGATGTAGGTATGAAAATACTGTCCAGGCATGATGAAATGAGTCTTTGTCAGCCATGCAACCATAGGGTGCCTACATTTTCATAATTATTATTTATGTTTGCATGCAGAAGTAATTTATTTGTATTTAAATTTTTTTGGTGCTCAATTTCCTTTGATAATAAAAAATAATACTTTAAAGATGACCCATATATATGCCAAAGGACAGGTAATTCATATTTAGATTTTTTTTTTTAATTCACAACCAATAAAACAGAGAATAATTTGTACTGCATTCTTGCACGCAAGAAAAGAGGATGGTAGGCTTTTCATGTAAATATAAGCATTGTTTATTTACTGCAAATAGTTAAAAAAAAACTAATCTCTGACGTATGTTTTTACCCATATCTGATAAAACATGAAATAATTGGCGTTAGTCTTCAAATCAAGGTATAATTATTATGAAAGGATTTGTATTTGAAGCAATATGTGCGTCTCTGTGTCGTGGTATAAAATTATTGTAGTTTAAAAACCCTGGGAGAAAAAAAATCCTTATATTATACAAAAACATATTTAAAAATGTACTATAAAAATCTAATTTTGACTTTATTTTTTATTTTTCAGTATATGTTCACACATCACATTCAGTGTTGCTCAGTAGAAAGTAAAGATTAAATTGATTTTTGATGTATTCTGTATAAATTCTTTTTGCATAAACCTCTTACAATAAATAGTTTAAACCAATAAACTTGAAATTAATTTAAATATTTTGTAATATAATTCATGGATACCATGTAAAACAAAAATGGAATGTTATTCTGTGTTTCATCAAACAGTGAAAATAGATTTTAATCTTTCTTTTATCCATAAATATTACATTTAATAAATATAGCTAGGCACGCTCTTCATAGATAATGAAGACAAAGGGGTTAATTTAAAAAAAAAAACATCTGATTTGTATTATTGTGATTTGTAAACATTTTCAAAATATATCTGAAATCTACAAATTCTCTTGTGTGTCAAGAATATGTAATAAATATATATTAAACCATGCAATGGTTGTTATTTCAAACAAATTTGTATGTAACCATGCTGTATTTGTTTTTAATCAGATGGCTTGCTGTCTACATTATAAAGAAATGTACACTATAAAGTCTTGTTTAATCTCAAATAATAATTAGAACAGCTTAACAAGAATCTTAACAAAAACATTGATTTTTCTATTTACCTTTGAAAAAACCTTTTCCTTAAATTACTAATATAAACTTAACAGTATTACACACCAAAGTGATAACTGTAGGAAATTCAAAATGAATTTCAAATGCAAAACCGAAATAAACAAGCTGAAAACAGAATTGGCTTGAATAAATGTTCTAATTTCAGCTATATTAGATCACCTTTTGAAATTCACCTTGAAATCATTTTAAAATTCCTGGCAATTCTCACTTTAGTCAATAAAACTGTTAAGCTTCCATTTAATAAGCTTTCTAAATGATTCAATACTGTTTAAAAAACTTTTCAAATTATATATCTATTAAAATGTCCCCAGACTTTAATGGTGACGTCTTTAGATAAATAATTTGGAATATTTTTCTAACAGTTTTGAATCATTTGAAAAGCTTTTTAAATTGAGGCTTTACTCTGAAATATATTTTCGCTTCATGACTTTGATGCACACATGATGATATTGTCTCTAGAATCCTTTTTGCAATGTTTAAGGGTATCACTTACCTGCCCTACATGACCAGTACTAGCAAACAAAGACTGGAAAATTGCACTCAGAGGAGGGTAAGTCTGCTGAACTTGGATGCCTATGGTCACAGCTGTGTAGCAACTGTTTGTTTACTGTGTGATCGTCTTTGTCAGTGATGGTCTGTGCTGCTAGGGGGTCCAAAGATGCATTTGAATCTTTCTCCCCACACCCCAAATGAGGCCTAAGTAAATTAAAACTATTAAAATGCAAGCAGATTATTGGGAGAAAGGCATAGTGTATGGGAGGATACTAGGAATAACAGTGAATGCATACATCTTCTGTATCTTATGTTTATAACAACCAATGGGAATCCACACCCAAAGAAACACAAATTGGGTTATATATAGCACTTTTGGGAAAAAATTACTATTTGCAGTATTAAGGGAGTTCTGGAGTCAGAGAAGAAAAGACCATATTATCAGAGAGAAACAATTACAGACACATTTAGCAAAAATTTAAAGTGAAATGCAAGGAGTAATGCACTGAATCTTTATGTCCCCTCAGTGTTTTATTTATGAGTCTTGCAATGTTGCTGTGGTGTTGGGAAGTCAGCTGCTCTGCATTCTCGTCAAACTGGAGACTGTTCAGCTAATGTGAATTATGCGCAAGTACTAAAGGAGGAGACTATATTTAAAATAAGAAAAACTACCACAACAAGAGGACATAGTCTTAAATTAGAGGGGCTATAATAACTGGCTGTGTGTTTATTTAGTTGAATAAGTCTTTTTTATATATATATATATATATATATATATATATATATATATACATACATATATATAGATAGATAGATACAGATATAGATAGATATATATATATATCTATATATATATATATATATATATAGATATATATATATATTTCTTCTTGGGCCAAATATAATGCTCGCTACATTAATATATGTCTATATTAATGAAAAGTACTAATACGCAATCTGACGTTCTTTATAAAAAATATGCATTTATTCTACTTCAATAGCAAACAATAATATACTTAAAAGATGGTATTTCTTAACGACGTTACAGGGAGTCATCTTTGTATCAGCAACTCAGGACATCAGAGAGGAGAGCAAAACGGATCGTAGAAGGAAGAGAGCGTGGACCTTTGTCCTCTGCCCTTTATAGCCCAAATTACGTCATAACGTTTAGTTTAGACTCTGGCCATATTAGGAAATTCCCCATATAAAGACCACCCCAAATCTCTTATACAGCAAATTCCAGAGACCTCATGGTACAGAATAGCAAACGCCATCTGTTCTGTTTTACCCATTAGACAGCCACACCTTAATATGTATTTGAATAGGAACATATAGAATATGCAATATTCTACAGGGGCAAAGGTTTAAAAATAATATCAGGAAGTATTACTTTTCTGAGAGGGTAGTGGATGCAGGGAATAGCCTTCCAGCTGAAGTGGTAGAGGATAACACAGTGAGGAAGTTTAAGCATGCGTGGGATAGGCATAAGGCTATCTTAACTATTAGATAAGGCCAGGGACTAATTAAAGTATTTTTAAAAGTGGGCAGACTAGATGGGCCGTATGGTTCTTATCTTCTGTCACATTCTATGTTTCTATGTAAGTTTGGCATCTGACGCCAGACAGCTTGTGGTGTCACAAACTTCCCTATGTGCTGCCCCTGTCCTCGCTTCAGTCTGTCCCCCCTTACACTCCCACCCTTCCTTAAGATGGAGTGATGTCAGCAGAGGATGATCAGGCTGCAGAGAGAACTTGGCCTCAACACTGGAATAGAGGTAAGTTTTCTCCATTCTCTTGATTTTCTCTCTTTTTTCAGTTTTGGCCTAAATGTTATGATTCCATTATCTTTTTTTTTTTTTACTTGTAACTTCATAAGGTTTTTTTCCATTATAAAAAACCATAAATTACACAACACACACATAACATATAGACATACATATATTGTTCCATGGATCTAATATATTGATTACTAAATTCCATTATTTGTCTGTGCCCTCTTAATTATAAAGCGCAAACCAGATAGATTGTTCCCATAGCATACACCTAAAATATGTAAACACACATACAAATATACATAACATTTCTCTTTTCCTTGCACAGCCATGATTTTATCTCCATTCTATCCAGTAAATATAGCTATTGTCATTATTGTTTGGGGCTCTCTACTCTTTTTAGTCCATCACCAGCTATCCCTCAGTAAATAATATCCATAGTGTCAATCCCTTTGATGTCTCATTACTAGAGTTTGAGATAATGCCGCCTTCCGTCTTCAGCTGATATGTTATTTGATTTTTAATCTGGGGCCAAGTAGGAATTTCATGATTTTCCAATTCCTTGCTAGTGAAATTTTAGCTGCAATCAGGATATTTGTAATTAAGTATTTAGATATTTTATTCATTTTGGGTCACGTAAGATGTAAAATAAATTATTCTAACTCAAAATGTATCTGTGGGAGCTCTAAAGTTCAAAAAAAGATTTTTAATCATTTCCCAATTTTTTTTTTAACTTTAACACATTCGCACCATATATGGGAAAAGGAACCTTCTAAGTGTTCCAGTGCTCCAGCATATGTTACTAATATAGGGGTAATTTTTCTTAAATTTTGTTGGCACCATATACTATCTATAGATGATTTTATATTGATTTTCTAAGAGGTTTAGACAATGCATGTTTTTTTAAGGTCTATCATTATTTTGTACCAGTCGTTGATTTCAAAGGTTGTACCTATGTCTTTTTCCCAGCTTTGGAAAGCATTTAACTTCACATCTATTTCCTTATTCGTGTCTATTAATCCCCTGTCTAGGATTTTTTGTAATATTATGATCCTTATTTAAGACTTCCTGAAGTTGTATTTCCTTTTTCCTAGGGTTCCCTATAATATTTTGGATAAAGAAGTTTTTAATATCTATCCACAAAATACAATTTAAATCAACATTATTAAATGCTTCCATTTTATACCAAGCTTAAGGAAAAAGCTTTTGATCACACCATTTCTTTAGGTGCAGTATCATAGACACATCATGATATCTATTAACCAAAGGTAAATTGATGCCACCTTTCACTTCATTCCTTGAAAGGATGGATGTTGCAATTCTAGGTCTTTTACAAAACCATATATAATGATTAAAAACCCCTTGCATTTCTTTGATCCACTTTTGGGGAAAAATTAACGGGACCATCCTGAATAAGTAAGTCCATTTAGGGAGAATATAAGATCTTATTACATTTATTCTACCCCACCATGAAAATTCTCTATATGTCTATTTATTAAGATTTTCTTTCTATTTTGGGGGGTCTTCCAATATTTTAATCCCGAGATAGTCTATTGGGCCAGAGGTCCACTTAAATGTATAGTTAGACCTTAATACATTTTCTTTCTTTTTATTGATATTTAGTAGCATCGCTGATGTTTTAGACATATTTAATTTGTAGTTAGAAAAAACAGCAAATGTTTGTATTTCTTCTAATAGTACAGCTAAAGAATTATCACCATATTATTAAACAATATCACCTGCATAAGCAAAAAGATTAAACCATTCCTGGGGTGAAGAAACATCAGTCATTATTGTGTTATCTCTTATATGTTGCAAAAAGGGTTCCAAGGTTAGAATGTACAAAATAGGAGACAAGGGACACCCTTGACGGGTACCATTTCTTATATTAAACCAGGGAGATTTTATTCCTGAACAAATTATTCTGGGCTTAGGTGTAGTATAAAGGGCCATAATTTTATTTATAAAACAGTCTCCAAATCCATATGAATTAAGCGTTTCATACATGAAATGCCAACTGACCCTATCAAATGCTTTATCAGCATCTAAAAATAGTTCCAGTTGGGGTATAGAGCCTTTTTTTGAAATATCCAAAGAATCTATAAGTCTTCTCATATTTTGGGTTAAAGATCTTGATGACACGAAACCAAGCTGGTGGTCATGATTCCATTTTCAATTCTCCACACTGTACTGTTTAATAAATTAACATTAAATTAAATATTATAAGCTACAATAACCCTTTCTCAACCAAGTACTTTTAGCATCATAACACAGCAATATTATGTGTAGACTGCATTGCAGACAAACTTAAGTTAAAATTATGCAAATTTACATAATTTTAATTTTTCACTTATTTGTTCATCTTTCATAGTAATATTTGGAAAATGAACAGCTATATTGCAATATTTCACACATATGTATGCATATATCAGAGTGTATATATGTGTGAGTGTATCAGTGTATGTATGCATTAGTGTGCATGTGTGCCCAAAGCAGCAACATGGCTACAATGGGATGGTGATATGGTATTGGCAATCATGTTAATGTGC